ACAGTAAACAATGTTGACAACAACAACAGTAAACAATGACAACAACAATAAACAATGACAACAATAGACTACAGTAAAAGTGCAGTTAAAATCAGAGTAGTGTATAAAACAATAAATCAGGGTACAGTAATGACTGACAGGTGACATCACATGTTTTTGTTTTGATTCTAGATTTCATGTATGTGTTGAGAAATACTTAAATTAATTTCACATTCATCATTTCTGTGCAAAGTTATGAATGTACTGGTTCAGGTGATATTGCTGAATTGATATTTGATCCCCAGCGCTGGACTTTTACAAACACCCCTGGACTTTATACACACGAGCCTCTAAAGACGTGCAGGCGGTTACACACTTTTATTAATTTAAGTTCTATCTGAGCAAAAAGTTGCTTTGTGAAAACTGCAGTGGGTTGAGTCCAGGTTGTCTGTCAGCTTTCATGAACGAAGAACAAATTGGTCTTCAGTTCAGTTCACTTTATTTATAGAACGACAAAGTTGTCTCAGGGACTTTACAGGAACATTCACATAAAAGCCAGTTTGTCCTCCAGCAGTCTGGGCCTATAGCAGCAGAACTCAGGGACAGCTCAGGAAACCCAAGCCGACCCTAACTATAGGATTTATCAAACAGGAAAGTCTTAATCCCAGTCTTCAAACTGGACAATGTGTCAGCCTCAGCGCCCCTGAACCTGTAAATGTGTGTAAGTGGGACGGTGGAGGTTTTGTGTTCGTCCTTCATGAAGCAGTTTCTGTAAACTCCACTCAGCACCCTCCTGTCCAGGTGAGGGGGGTGTCGGCTATGAACTCATCATTATGGGTGCTGTTCGTGTCAGACTTGCTCATAAACCATGAATGGACGATGTAGAAAACAGTTTTTGTTCCACCAGTGAGAAGCGGAGACAGCTGCATGTGCTCGTGGCGTCACGCTGCTCTGAGTCGCTCCTGAGGCCAAAGCCTTTCATTTATTGAGTCGTTCCAATTTCTTCTTTTCAGAACATTGTCAGAAAACATTACTGAACCCTTAATACAAAAGGTTTCCTCATGTTGGGCCATTCTTGATATTTGTTTTAAAACTTTCCACTGCCAGCAATGAATTTATTTCAGTAAGATCTGCTGTCACTTTACTTTTATTTCGTTTTATCCGACAAATTAAAGCCAAACACCAGATGCAGACAATGAAACTGTGTTTGTCTGTACTGGAAACTAATGATTATCTGAAGAGGAAGTGTCAATAATTAGATTCTCGAGAGTTTGGAAAAAAGACCAAAAGTTCAGTGCTGGTGTAGAAAACATCCAGGAATAATCCCAACTGAGACCAGTTCCAGTACCAAACCCAGTGGGTGCTGCTTTATTCAGACCTCCCTGGAAACAGGAATCTGAGCTGATTAGGACGAATAAGAAGATGGAGCGCACAACAAACAGTCACAAGTAGTCTGCTGTTTCATGTTTTATGACACATGACATGATGAGAAGCTGCGCTGGTGGAGTCCACAACAATAAACTGCACAAGATGAGTTATTAGCCTCACAATCATATTTCAGTGAATTCACATTTTATTTGCCAATGCTCATTAAATAGATGCTTCACATTAACCTAAAGAAATCCACAGCAGGTGGGAATTTACTCAAATATACTGTGAGCTGCTCTGAAACACCATTTCTTCTTCTGATGCATATTTTCTTCTGAGCTGTTATAAATAACTTCACGTCAGATTTCTGGAAGCTCTGGTCAATAATCACAGCAGCTGGACACAGAAGGAAATGCAGGAAAGATGATAAGATAGATGTTGTTAAATGTGCTCACACTGGCCTGATACTTGTTCATCTGTTTGCATGCTTTTATTTTGTTAAAGAGCCCAGGCAGGGCATTAAACCAAACCTGCTTCCTAAACTCCAGTCTTTGGCTTTAATAACGAACATTTAAATGTTTGAAACACGTCACCTTTACTGATGAGGTAACACCTAGAAATGAAATGAAGTTCATTCATGGGCGGCTGTGGCTGAGTGGTTAGAGCAGTCGTCCTCAATGTGAGAGTTGGGGGTTCGAATCCACCAGCAGTCACATGCTGAAGTGTCCCTGGGCAAGACACTGAACCCCTCACTGCCTCTGATGTGTGTCCATCAGTGATGAATGTGATCTAAAGCTCTGATTAGTCTCTTTAGAATGATTTGTTCAATTATCTTTGTAGAGATCTAGTATAGAGCTGCATGAATGGGTACATGAGGACACAGCTTGTTGTAAAGAGCTTTGAGTGTCTTGAAATAAGATAGAAAGGAGCTGTATAGGGACAGTCCATTTACCGTTTACATGAAGAAAAAAGCATCATTTTGTATTTTATCATGTGATGATTGAACAGGTGAACTAAAAGGCGGGGCAGGTGCTCGCTCAGAGCCAGGAGGATGTTGGCACAGGTTTGTTTGAACATGAAGATCTTTAGATAAACACTCAGATCTAGAATCATCGACCAAACCGTGGTGGTGCTGCAGACCATTGTCTTCATTTGGTCTTTGACAGTGAGCAATAAATGTTTAGACATAACCTTATTCATTCATTCATTCATTTTGTCGGCCACCGTATTAAAAGAAAAGGACTTTATACAAATTATTAGTCTCTTAGTCCGTGTCCATGCGGACACTCTGTGTAAATGTCACAGTATTTGTGGGAATTTTCACACGTCCATGTGTGTCCAGGACAGGAGCCATTCATGTAGGGGATCGGATCCTGGCCATCAACAGCGCCAGTTTGAAAGGCAAGCCGCTGAGCGAAGCCATCCACCTGCTTCAGATGGCCGGGGAGACGGTGACCCTGAAGATCAAAAAGCAAATCGACAGTGAGTACGCAAACACGCTCACCGGCTGCAGCAAACCTTAAAGTGTCTAATCACACGGGGCTTCTTTAAAAATGGATTTTTGACATGAAATTTCACATTTGCAACAAAAAGCGTACACTCAAGCACAGCCCCCGTCGTTTGTTGCCAAGAAACCAGGAAATGCTAGTTTATATCTTACTGGTCCCTTCATGTGTAAACCAGTTGTGGTGGTCATGTGTAAACCAGCTGTGGTGGTCATGTGTAAACCAGCTGTGGTGGTCATGTGTAAACCAGATGTGGTGCTCATGTGTAAACCAGCTGTGGTGGTCATGTCTAAACTAGCTGTGGTGGTCATGTGTGAACCAGTTGTGGTGGTCATGTGTAAACCAGCTGTGGTGCTCATGTGTAAACCAGCTGTGGTGCTCATGTGTAAACCAGCTGTGGTGCTCATGTGTGAACCAGTTGTGGTGCTCATGTGTGAACCAGTTGTGGTGCTCATGTGTGAACCAGCTGTGGTGGTCATGTGTAAACCAGCTGTGGTGGTCATGTGTGAACCAGCTGTGGTGGTCATGTGTAAACCAGTTGTGGTGCTCATGTGTGAACCAGTTGTGGTGCTCATGTGTGAACCAGCTGTGGTGGTCATGTGTAAACCAGCTGTGGTGGTCATGTGTAAACCAGCTGTGGTGCTCATGTGTGAACCAG